TGATTTATTGGATGGGTATGGTGGTTGTATGGTTGATGTTTGTCGGTGTTTGCCGCGGTGGTTTTTCAGTCGAAGGGTAGTGTTGGTGGTGGATCGGGCGCTGCGAAGTGTGGATTTGAAGTTAGTAGCGACGGTGGTTATGTGTGTGTTTGTTTTAGCTGTGCGTGTGGCAATGGGGGTCTGGGGTGGTGATAGAGGTGTTGGGAAGGGCGTGATGTTGGTTTTTAAGATATTGATGGTGCCACTGGTGGAGGCGGTAGCAAAGTGGTGGTCACAAATGATTTTGGTGGTGGTCATGGTTGGTTGGTTGTTTGTTTGTGACCACTAATTTGGTTGGTCGACGATCAATAAACAATATGTGACCAATGAATTAGATAAAATGTGACCATCACATGATGTGTAACCTAAAAATTATTAATTATGATCAATAATTTGATAAATTGTGATTGTGACCAACTAATTTAGAAATCTGTGACTGTATGACCTATAAATTTTGACATGTGACCAACTAATTTTGAAACCTATGACCAACGAATTAATTGTGACTTACAAAAATTTTGAGCTGTGACCATAAGTTGTAAATCTGTGATCGAAATAGTCGTCAAAATAATTGTCGGAATCGAAGCATTCGCCAGAGAAGAGTGGTCGTCGGAATAGTCCCCAGAGTGGTATGGATGGGATATGTGGGGTGGGTTAATTATATTATATTATATTATATTAGAATTAAATATTTAATAATAAATTGATTTAACAATTTATTATTTCATTAAAAAAAACCTGATTTTTGAATTGATGTAAAGTAAACACCTTATTCATGAATTTTTCCCAAGCTTATATCAGTTTGGAGGACGAGTACTCGATAATTCAATACTGATAAAATTGAAAATTAAATTGAAGTTCAAAGAGAGAACTCAAACTTTAGTGATCCAATCAAAATTTGGCAGGAAGTTCAGTGACCACTTATGAAATTTACCTGATTTTGGTAAATTCTATACTTTCAGAAGCACTTCGATACCTTTCTCATATTTTTGGAATTATAGCTCAGAGATATGACTTGTCTTCCCTGGGGAGATACAAATCATAATGTCTAGTAAGCAAGATCTTACATCACATCACTAAACAATATTGAATAATAAGAAAACTAATATTCACTGTTGCGTGTCAAACGTGTCCATTAGGTTTCCTTATCATTGGACTCCCAACTCGGGTTGGAAAGCAGTCAAGCAGACGAGCACCATTTATGTTTAGGTTTTATCTGAAACCTCGATCATTTGTCCTAGTCCACGACCCTCAGGAGTTCGACAACCAGAGGAAGAACAAGCCGCGCGAGGTACACAAAGTCGTAAAGAATGCAATTTCTCCCCCAAAAATAAGTAAACAAGTAAAAATACGAGCAGTGTTCCATTCCGAAAATCTCCCTAAACCTAAACCCAAACCAATTATTTATGTGATAAATTCCGTAGACCACATGCATGTATGTCCATAGACAATTTAGGACGCATCCCAACCCAAAAAATTTCAAAAAAAAAAAAAGAACAGTAATCAAATGCCTACTAACATACATAATGAATCTTGTAATTTACCCTCCATCTAAACCAAATAGAAGGATTGCTAGCAAATTTACCTTGCTTACTTTGACATGCGACTTTAATCCGCATAAAATTGGTACAACTGCAAAAAGACGCGCATCGAGAACAGGCATCTTCTGATGTAGAAGAAAAGTTCACGAGACAATGACTCATTCGAACCCACACTCAGGAAAAAATGGGCAGCAAATTGAGTTCCCTGCGTCCCATGAGCTCATCTTTGGGAACTGCAATGCACACCGTGACCTGAATGACCATGTAGACAAAACCCAACTGAAACTCCAAAACTTGCAACAACTCTTGGTGTTCTGTGCCAATATTAGAATAAACCAAATAACAGAGACAGACAGCACAGCCAAGCTTGATTTTACCATTCAAGCCATCTGAAATCATGAAGCAACTGATGCAGCCTTCTCCAGTTTTTGTTTTTCAATCTCAACTCTTCTCAGCTCAGCGTGCTGAGCAACGCCGTTTGCAAGCGCTTGATAACGGAAATCGAGTGTTTGTGTGAGGTTCTGAAACCTCAATGGATCGGATGCTTGCAAAGCTAAACGAGAAACAAGGCGTGTGGGTGAGAAAATAGCTCGATGGTAAGAAAATAAGTGGGGGTACGAAGTAACAAAAGGTGCTAGCATTTTACCTTTAATAATATCCACAAAGAAAACAAAAGGGTCAACATCATCAATGGGGGATTGCAACTCTTCATCATCGCTAAAATCGTCATCCGTTTCATCATCTGACTCAGTTGGGTGGAAAGACTTAGCCTGCAACTCCAACTATTAGCTGTGGTGGAAATTTTCTAACACCACATGATCAATCTGACAAAAAATTGCAAAAGCAGACAACCAAATGCATCCAGATGCACAATAACATCAAATAAAGAATCTAATAATATAATGTCGCCTCTGTTTAAGCTGGCCTTACTCCTTGTTGATTAAAGCTTGGCAGTATTAATAACCTTAAGGTAAGAATAGACAAAATAGACTCTGGTGTGGGATTCATTTAATGTAAAATGGTGTTAGATTTTGATTAATTTTCAAAAGACTTCACGTAATTAAGACGTTAAAAAATACAAATATTATCTCTCCAGTTTTTTGGTATGTTTCGTTTATTTCAGGAATAAATTGGTCAATTTCTTTTACCTGAATAACCAGATACAGTTTGCATGCCCTCTTAAATAAGATCATAGAATAACTTCATTCAAGTAAAACCCACCCGAGATGCCAATTTTTCAAGTTTAAGGCTGTCAGCTTCGTCTCCATCCTCATCATCTACCCCCATTTCTTTGTCAAACTCGTCACCTTCCTCATCCTCATCGTCGCTTTGAAAATTATCCATATCATCTTCATCTTCAGCCTCCTTTGCAGCCTCTGAATACACAATAACAAATACATGGGCACATAAAAGAACAAAAGATGCCAGAATAAGCAACTGGGTAATGTGTCTAGGTATTCGTTTTGGTAAAATAACGGAAAATGAGCAAGATATTATGGTGAATAAATGAAACAACCTGCTACTTGATCCTTGTAGGCAACAAGCAGGTCAAGAGTAGACTTGAAAACACGCTCCAACGCATCTCCTGGCAACTGATCGGCAGGGAGAGGGATCAATGACGTTAAGCCCAAGCAGCATACCTTTTTATCTTGTTCCCTGCAACATTAACATGATATGAATCCTTAAGCAAGCCTCTCTGGCAGGAGATGGAGGGAAAATAGAAAAAAAACCTAAGTGCATACCTTTTAAAATTAGCCNAGAAAAAAAACCTAAGTGCATACCTTTTAAAATTAGCCCGCACTCCACTTTTTTTAGTCTGTTCCAACATTTGGAACCAAAGATTAAACATTTCTGTAGCAATGTTAAGCTTTTGCAGAACATTGAGCGCTAAGGGTGCATTATAATACAGAGCATCAGCAACCTGAAGAAATGAATTGATCATCAAATGGTCAGGCCTCATTTTTCAAATGCTGGACAACAAGCAATGTCTCTCTACTAATGACCCTGACAAATAAAATAGAGTAAAAATTGAAGCAAACAAGTAGCCATCAATGATAGCAGCTACATTCTCAGTTACACAAATGCATCTAGTTAGTGAACTTTGCATATGGTAAAAGTATTCAGTATAGGCAGTATAAAAAATTATGACAACCCTACGGTGCATCAAGATTCTTTGAAAACAATCTCACTGGTACAAACAATAGCATACCCCACATTTTGGAAATCACAATTAATATAGAGCCAGATATAAAAACAATGCAATAGAAAGAAAAAAGTTATTTATTGCTGCCGCAATCTAAACCACCAAGGGGTCGACCATTTCCCAGATGAAAGGTTGCCTTTCACCAGTAGTCTATCCAATAATGATTCATGCTGAGTGAATATTACATTTTAAAAAATAAAAGTCACCTTAATCAGATGTGAATGCAAAAATAAACAAGAAAGTCCAATGATGTCCAGCAGAACTCTACAGCTAAAATTCCATGAATCCCGTCATACTCAAGCACATAACACAGAGAAAACAAGAATGGAGAAAAAGAAAAAACTATCCTAAAAAGGTATAATCAGAAGAGTTGAACAATTCTAAAGATGGGAACATATATGAATAAATACTTTCTTCTAAATACCTTCGCCATGCATTGCATTGCTCAGTCATAAGAGAAGAATTAGTAATAAATGGTAAAAGAGTGAAGAGGCAAGTAAATTGGCATGCTACCCGTCTGCCCACACAACATTGAGTTCAAGTTGATGATGCCCACACAACATTGAGTTCAAGTTGATGATGACCAAAATGAAATCAAATATGTTTCAGAAGACAGTAGAGCTTTTTTTCAATGAGATAAAATATACCCTTTTTCCAAACAGTATCACAATTATTACAAGGATGTGATCCTTGACAGGCTAGAAAATGTGTCATGGAGAAAAAGCAAAATTTCTTACCACTTCCATCAAGAGACACTTGAGATAAGGTTTCTCTGTGCGACGCAGACGCTCCACAGTGATTCTAATGTAAGGCTCAACCCAGTGATCAACCTGCCCCCTGCAGTTCTGGAACACCACTTGAATGAGCTTAGGTGCCGGCTCAATATCACCATCCTCCAAATTTTTATCGCCCATTATCTACAAGATAATGAAAAAGATGAGAAATTAAATTTAAAAACCATTATCTATCTTCTTTTCACAACTTGGTCAGAGGCTATTCTTTGGTAAAGATGAAATTAACTCACAAATGAAATCATGTTCCAAAGGCTCTGCTGGTAGTCTGGTTCCTTGCATGTGAGAAAGTGCACTGTGCTTCTGGATATATAGTTATCTAATGGTACCAATATATCTGTGAAAAATCCACAAAGACCATGGGGACATGAGACGTTCATAAAAAGTTGTTTCATTAAGTCACTATTAGGGTGTGTTTGGGACACATTCTTTTGAAAGAATGTATTATTTTATTGAAAAATGTGTGATTGAAAATGAGTAGAAGAATGAGAATGAAAAAATAATGTGTACCAAACAGGGCTTTAATTAGGCCTAATAACACCAAGGAAAAGAATTTTAAGAAGTAAAAAAATTAACTTTTGATTTCCATGAAAAAATAGTGATAAAAATGTTTTATACCGCAGAAGGTAGTTCAAAGATAAAAAGATGTTCCAAGGAGAATGGCCACATAAAGAAGATCATAAAATTGAGTTAAACACGGTAACAAGTAATTTGCTTTTTTTAAGGCACTCGAGGCTTACTCCCTGTGGCACGCCTCGCAAGAGCCTTTTATGAAGAACTTACAAATTTACTACTCATCTTACTGAAGCATACAGCTCAAAGCATAAGGCTGAGGCATGCACTTGAGTACCTAGCCTTCTCCAGGGTTTTTGTTATTGCTTCAGCTTTTAGATTGGTTTCTACAGCCTAGAATGTTTTTTAAAGGTTTTCTGGGGTAATTTAAACGCAAATCAGTAGTAAAAATTTGAAAAGAAAGAATTGGGGAAGAGAGACTAGAGCAAGTGACTCGAGCATCATTAGCCTCATACAACTGAAGTGCAATAAACTCTTCTCCGAAGTTGCAATTTTCAATAGCAGGCAGACAGAGATAAGGCACCTACAACACATAACTTCACTTTTTTCTTTCTATATATATATTTTCCTTCTTGTCTCTGTATTTTGGTTTACCTTCTCTCCATATTTTTCTTGTTTGCCTATGTAGAAAAGCCTTTGTAGGGAAGGGGATGGAAACACTGCAATTGGAAGAAGAGGAAAAAGACAGAAAAAACTTGACAAACTGAGGAGAAACAATTCGGATTTTCATTTATTTAAACAATAACAATTCCAGATTTATATTTTGACTCTTAGAGTAAGCAAACTACCACCACCTAAATTCACATATTATGGCTTGATCAAACTGCTAATTAACAGCACAAAATCAGCTAAATAATTACATTTACTCAAAATTAGCAAACTAGACAACTACAATACACAACCGATACTAATAAAACTGATAGTAATGAGAATAGAAAAATCAAATGTGCCTATGATTCTCTTAAAAAGAGATTCTATAAGTAGAGTATAGAAGACTTTTAAAGATTTTTTAGGTAATGATACATGACAATTTTGTTGTGTCATCATTAATTTTACGATTTAATATTTGCTACTCCGTTGATCTATTTAAAGTAGCAAGTTAAACTTAATTATATTAAATTGTTTTGTTATGGATTTTCAAGATGGTTCATTGTTTATTATAAGCACAATTTGTACTTTTTATATATTTTTTAATTATTATATTGGCTTGCATTGAGGCTTACGCTTTTCAAATGACATAGGTACTCAATAGAGCCATTTAAACGCTGGAGCAAGTACACAGGAAACAACAAACTTCAAAAGGCATGGGCGAACATACCAAAACATTACATGCATATAAAAAAAATCATTAGTGGGACAGAAGTTGGACGGAAATTATAACTTTACTAGACAGAAATGTCAGTTCGTAGGCGACCAACAATCAGCACTAGGAAGCATATATAATCCATAAGATCGCTTTTAAAAATTGCTCCTTCTGAACGGCAGAAGTGGATTTTCAGTTTTAATAAATGATTTTACCTGTTAAAAAGCCTATGCAATCATTGTTCTTAATAGAACTTAAACTAACTCAGAAATCAACTAAACACAATTCCTTCAGTCATTCAACAGGTTAAGAAACTAATTAACAGATAAATTATCTGGAGGAAACAATAATAAAACGCATGGAGTAATTACAGAGGTACATACTTTGGAAGAAATCAATTGCCCAATCAGCCAAAGCTTCCATCATCAACGGCCAAAGACTCCACATGTCCATGGATATTGTTGGGGAGAAAAATGTCATATATGACACTATCTCCAAAACTTCCTCGAAGACCTCTGCAAAATCATGCATTTTTAAGAAGGGATCCATAAAACTTCATCCAACAACAGAATTTTCCAACAAGCTATATGAGTTTTTTGGTCACGTTAATCCAACAAATTTCAGCTATAAACTTTCCTTTAAGACAAATACACTCCCTTCATTACCCGCACCCAAGGACAACCTCTCCCAAGTTTTTCATTTGTACGAGAAACATTCCAAGTCAAAAGGAGAAGATATCTTGATTCATTTTCAGGTACAATATTAGTTTAACTGAAAGCAACTATACATCTGTGTTGGACAAATTAATAGCCACCATTTATATTTGAAACACCTAAGTAAATATCTTTCATTTAACATTGTCCTTTTTATGAGACCTCAATACTTGCATCTTTGTTATGTAATTCATTGGGGAAATTGAATTTAGGAAAGATGGTATAAATCATATGGTATCAATAATATGCTCAGCAAGATGATTAGTAATGTCAAAATGGACAAGTACCTTGTCCATCAGTTGTCAGCATCCTACGCATTATAGGGAGTAGAGTTGGTTCAATGTGTACAAACAGATGAGGGAGCCTGCTGACTGACTCAAGGATTGTGCTTATTGCACGCAAACAACCAACAGCTGCTAAAGCACCAGGATCGTCACCTTCCTCATCTGCTTCAGCAGTGTTCATACACTTCCAAAATGCAGCAGCCTAAAATAAATAATACATGATTCAGTGGATAGGACAGATTGAAAACAAGAATTCAAAAGATCAACAATCCTGATCTCACCAAATTCTGGCATAATCCAAGAGCATAAGGAGCCATTTCTTCTCCGAACTTGTCCACTATTGTCTCAAGAGTAAATACAAGATCTTCATTCTCAACTTCATTCATAAGTTTGAAGAACTCTAAATAGGATTTCAGAAGGAAAGTATATTCAGTAAGAAGGCTGCTGCTTCATAAAGAGTAATAGGAGTATGACGGGCAAATTACATACCATCAAGTAACTGGGGAAGAATAGGTCGAATTTCACCCAAATCTGCACAAGAAAATGACGGAGACATTGGATGAGCATCCACTTTCAAGTTACATGGTAGATACAAATTACAAATGATTCCCGGAAAATTGAACCTTCACAGGCTTCAATAAAAGAGCGCAATGCAAAAACAGAATCAACGCGAACAGGAAGTTCTGGATCACGCATCCCAGCAACAACACTGTGCAATGCTTTACGGAAGTTATTTGGATCTGAGAAGTTAACATGTGCATATTGCCCTGCAACCCATGCTGCCTAATATCCAAAAGGTTAGAGCAAGAAGGGCACAAAAGTGTAAGCTCATAACTCAAGAAAGAAGTATGAAACAAGGAACTTAAAGTAGATGACCAAGGATAGTTATGAAACCAATCCATCAATAATCATGCAAAAGTCATAATATGAATGTTCACTCCAGAAATGCACAGCCAAATGAGATATATCTAACATGAACTCTATGCTTCTATACACAAGGAAAACGAAATCTGTGTCGGGGAAAATGCTTTACTAATATATGGTAGCAAGCCAACAGGTAATCAAATAAGAGATTGAAGCAACACACCTTGGCTCTAAGATGCCCCACGGGACTGCTGAATTCAGGGAACACATGCTGCACAAGCATACGCTCAAGCTCCGACTTGTAAGGCTCGGTCTGCTTCAGTTTATCACACAATGCACCAATGGCTAGAAGGGCACCGTCCTTTTGCCTATAGGGCTTGTATTCAACTGGTGCCTCATCATATCTATAGGTAGAGAAAATGAGGTTGATCATCATTCAGAGATCTAATTGTGTGAACTGACATAAAGGATTCGCCGGGTGACATGTACCTCTTAAAAATCTCCACAATGAATAATATGAACTTTTGAAGATTCTCTTCCCCACGCCTTCTAACCAATTCACTCACAAAATCCATTGCAGCAGTTCTAGGACTATATAAGTCCTCAATTATATCTGTAGTAACATAATAAGTAGATGAAATACTCAACACAGTTTGGGATTACAAAGAACCAGAGATAACACTAAGTTCAATCAAAAACCAGAAGCTCAGACACACCGTATCCCTTCCTCACATACTCATGTGGATCTTCATCCCAGAGCTTTTGATCATTGTCATTGAAGCACATGAGTGGAAAGATGATCTCAAACAGAACAACATCAAGTCTTGGTTGCAGATGACCGTACATATTACTTTTTGAGATACTGTATGATAGACAAAACTGAATCAGGTCAAGAGCATTGGCTAAATGCTACAATCAAGTCATCATACTTGACGCAGTACGAATATCGTTATCAAATGTCCCATTCCAGAAGAGGAAAAGAGGATAGCACTAACTTACACATGTGCCTATTGCTAGACGCTTTTGCCAAAATATTTATGTTACAATGGAAAACTATTTTATAGTATGTTTTTGGTGCTTGCATTCAAGTTTTATGCAGAACGTCAACAGATTACGTCTTAGTTCAGATGATACATTTGTAAAAAGGATTTTTTTACCATTAAGACCCTGTTTGGTTTAGCTAAAAAAGTTGATAGAAATCTAAGATAAAGAGCACCAACAGAAAAAGAACCCTAAGTCAAGGACAAGTACTTAAGATTTTTCTTTTAACTTTCAAGAGAAGATGTGAAAATTAGAATTTTTAGTTCTTCAGAATCTCTCTTATAGAATCAGCACAAGATTGTTGCTTTCTGTCTCGTGAACTAGAAACGTCATTCTAATTTTGTGAACGGCTTATTAGTTCCCAAAGCCTATTGCCTTGTATATCAATGACATTCATTTAAATAGACACTGTCTCTAGTTGATCATTCCAAATATACCAAGCTGTGGACCCATAGACATTTTCTATAGTACAGATAAATATCAGGCCGTTGGCAATAACTATGAGTCGGTCAACTTGGATCACAAGGCATTAGAAAATGGAAATCAGGTTTTCCGTATTTCATCTACAGAAATGCATATAAAACCAAATACCAAGGGGTAGATGATATAAAACGAGGTAAAAGATAAAAATATTGAAGAGAAATAGAACTAACTAATTATCATATTACACCAACCTGTTACTCAGATATTGCAAAATAAGATTGATTACTCTGTCAGGTAAGTAGCCACCAACACGAATTACATTCAATAAATTTAGGTGGCATTCCAAAATTTTTCCTGCATAACTTTTCTGGAACATCTGTGCAAAAGCTTTGTTATCTGGGTTTTGAAGTTTCAAGTCTCCAAAGCTGAGATATAGCAAAGACAGAAAACAAAAAATCAAAGTCAGAGGGATATTTGGCCAAAGTATGGACCTAAATAGAACAGAATCCAGTATATATCTACTAAACCTACCGCGTATAAAGGCGGTTTAATATGTGGACAGTCCACTTCTTCACCTTCCACCATCCCCATGATTTCCTCAGGTCTGGATCAGCTGGTTGGCCTTCTAATGGGACAGGCCTCTCCAATATATTCAAGAAAAGAACCATCCACGCATTAAACACGGCTGAATCAAAGAACTGCTTTGGAATCTCCAACTGAAAGACACAGAATAGCAAATATAATAAGCTTAACACACCAAACACTTTATTTTGCAGGAACCAGATTTACAAACTTATTTTGAACCAGCAGCAAAAAATTGAGTGAAATTTTCAAGAAAATTTATTAGTTACGTGGTAAGTGTGTCAATGAAATTTGATTCTTGAAGAGATGAAAACCAAAAGAATAACTATCAAAAACTTTGAGTTACGAACAAAAATGTATGGCAATTAGTTGCGTTTAAGGTTTTATAAAAAAGAGACTTACAATGAGGCATATCCTGCAATACCACCGAATGCTTTTCTCGTAAAATTGTTCGTTTCTTTATGAAAAACAACCCCACCCCCTGAACCCCATAAATGAAAAGAGAAAGAAAGAAATCTTCATGGAAGACAAGTTTTGAAACTTAAGAACATCAACATACAGAAGTACACTATAGCATGCTGCTCAATACAATTCCACCCCCTGAAGCCCATAAATGAAAAGAGAAAGAAAGAAATCTTCATGGAAGTCAAGTTTTGAAACTTAAGAACATCAACATACATAGATAGAGGACCAGAATATTTTGCAAATAAGCTTGATCAAATCTGCAACTTCAATAGAAGGATTTGCTATTTGTCCAAGTTGGTTAAAAATGTTCAGCAGATGAGAAAATGTTTCCTCGACAATATGATGAACCGGTGCTCTCTCCTCATCTGATTTGAACCTGTCATGGTAAGTAGTACGAGAAATTAATTCATAACATATAGTAGATATGGATCAATTTATGACATGGGTAGTGACTGATAAATTTCTTTTCTTAGAATCGCACAACTGCACAAATCTTCTGTCATTTTCCTTTTCAAAAAGGGCAAAAAAAAGGTTCCAGAACAAACCGGGGATACCATAAATGTTTGCAGGTGAGCGCTAAACGAATATAGAGGAAATAGTAACATGCTTTTTACACTTTTTCCCATTCTCTCCAAGATTAATAAAAGAATTTTGTAACATATGGCAAATCAGGCTGATGAAAAGAAATGGCATCAGTAAGTGTCAATAGGTACCGAAGAAAACAACCATTTAAGACACAGTAGATGGTTTATGTATGTGTATATGTTCGTCGAGTCTGAAGTATTAGCATGTAAGACAAAATAGATTCACTGGAACGGTTAGTGGATATGCACTAAGCAGAGGAGTGTAGCTGAAGCAATCAAGATACCCACACACTTTATCGTTGAACTGTTGTGTAATAGATTACAGTCTACAGATGCTTCAGAATTTTGCCAACTACTAGAGACAACAGGTTAGCTTACTTGGAAGGAAAATGGCATGAGAAAAAAACAGATCTACATGTCTTTAAGACTAATTTTTCTCATGCTGGGGAGGATATGGAAAAAAAAAAAAATAGAGTATATATTGCACTTTCATTTCAGTCTTGACAAGAGACCCTTTTTTTTTTTAGGGATTGAATGCATAATGGAAAAGCACTCGAATATGAGAATAAATGGAATACACTTTGATGATGAAAACTCCACTTGCTATACCTATTGAAGTAAAAAAAAAAAATGAGAAAATAAAGGCTGATCAACCATTACAGAGATTGCAGAAATAGTGAAAACACAAAGAAGAGTACAAAGTGCAAAAGAAGACTTGGCAACTTTTAGCCCCTATTTGGCATTAATTTAAATCAGATTTTAATCTAACTCAAAGACAAACAATCAATATTAACCACATATTTTATAGGTCTCAGAAACTTTTTAACCATACATTTCAAAAACTTTTATCAAAATCTACTAAAAATCTAATTTTAATCTCCACCTAACAGGGGCTTAATGCCGACCAGAAAACAGAAACGATAAGTTATTGGACTGCCTTCAATCCTTGACACACATCCATACAATTATTTTCAGATAGCAAGATTCTTAAGTTTTTTTTATACACCCCATACAAATTTTTTTAAAAAAATGACCTCAGCGTTCTACTTGGCAAGCAAAAGATACCAGAGTTTAGATGGATGCCCATTGGCCATTTAACTTACTCATATTTTCTTGAAAGAATCCTTAGGACAAACAATGAACCATAAACTTGTTGATCCTGCAAATTATGCTTCACCCAATGCAAAAGAGTCGGCCATTGCTCTGGGTAGTCAGCATGAACAATTGTTTTCAAGCACTCTCCCAGCTGTACCCTGTTTATAAACAAAAGAAATTTAAAAAGTTAGATACAACAATTAAAAGTCTGATAAATACAAGTACATTCGGCAGATAGAGACAATAGACATAATAGATAACTAAACCTGTCGTGTCGCATTAAAGAGAAATATCTTTCAGACACACAAGACAAGTGAGTATCAACTAATATGCCAACACATAGATGCAATTTCCACCAGTATCGTTGGCAAAATGGAGTAAATACAAGCAGGTGAAAATACCTACCTCAAGAGCGGAGGAACTTGGGCAACAAAATTGAGAATATTCTGCCTCACCACTTCCTTATCACTCAGTGAAATCTTTGATTGCTCCCCTGTTACGACATAAAACATCAACTTGTATATTAAAGCCTGCAAATGACGTTTCTACCCCACATTTTTTTGACTGGCACCCCGTACAGGTAAAGAAATTTGGTTTTTGAGCATTTTAGTCATATTTCCTTTCAAGTTCAACACAAAGTTGCCCAGAATGGTTTTCCCAGGTCAACTAAATGGTGCATAAATGATAAGCATTGAAAGGCTTGATCAACACTGTACAAGAGAGAACCACACAAATACTTGTGATAGCTTTGTGAATTGAAGAACCCAATTCTCTCCATAATTCGTATACGAGCTGGATGATGAAATCACAAGTGCGAAATTGAATTGCGTAAAAATCATCAATGCAGATGGGGTAACCCCAGAGCTGTCTTTTCTATTTTGTACCAAACAAGTGTATGTGACCTCAGAAGTAAACTCACCGGGATCATGCGGTGACCAGTTTTTAGCAATGAAATTCTTGAAATGAATGCTGGCCACCTGCCGGACTGCCAGGTCAACATTCCCATCTACTATGATCTGAAGCAGTCTCACCAAATGCTGGGGCGCATATTGAAACTGAACAACAATTCAAAAAACAACTAACTTCGAATCCAATCATTTCGAATTCCAATAAGTCTAAAAAATTAACTAAAAACAACTCAATCGATTCCACAAGAAATTCAGTTCGACGTTTTCACATTGCTAAGCTAAATACTTATAGAAAGAAACAATCCCCTCGCCTGATCGAGCTTCATCCATTTTTAGGAAATTAAAAAAAAAAAAAAAGCACAAAAAATGATTTATTTAAAAAATAATAATACAGTACCTGATTAAGACTTTCTTCAGCAGCTTTTCGTTCACTGGGATTGGGGCTGAGTGCACCTTGCAAAATTAGAGCTAAACTCGGAAGATCCATTATGCATATATTTGAACAAGAATTCTTCTTTAGGTTGCTGCTAAAATTGAATATATAAGCCTGAAAACAGAGAATTGAGATGGAATTACTCTCTCTCTCTCTCTGGGGTTTAGAGAGAGGAAGAGGATGCGGGGAGAGACAGCGAATAATGTGTGTATTTAAACGGTTAGGGTTGAGGAGAGTAAAAACTTGAGAGAGAGTACAGATTATAGAGAGAGAAAATTGGCAAAATTTCGGCTGAGGGCGCTTAACTTTCCGACAGAGTCTGAATTACAGTCTAAACTTTTTAGAGCCGTGTTGTTATTATTATTATTTTATTTTTTTTATACCCACGAATTCTAGCTTAGTCAGACTAAATCCTGAACTCCTAACCACCGGTCCCTCAGCGACTCGAGGAGATAAACTATGGGTTATGCCCTTATTGGCTCTCAGGTTCCTGCACCACTTATACTCCTGACCCCAAGAGAACTCTCATACTGAAGATGGTTGACATATAGGTTGATCGACACTCACAATGGGTGTCCCCCTTTTTTTTGGAATTTTTTTAATCGCGCGAGCAGCGAGAGGTAGTCAAATTCATTATCATCCATTTTCGGTACAAATAGAATAGCCCAACTTTTTACGCCCAAAAACACGCTTGATTTGAAAGTTTAAAAAATTATTTTATGGTATTTTATTTCATGAAAATTTTATTTTATTATGTTATCGAAAAATATATACTTTTTAAAGTTGAAGAATCTTACAATTTATTTTTTCTCGCTACAAAAATAAATAATAAATTAAGTTCAAAATATAGGAAATAAAAATAAAAAATTAATAACTTGGATTGAAAATAATTTTATTTGTGTTTATTTAAATATTTTTTATAATTTTCATATAAATAATCATTAAGAGTTTAAACTATTTTTATTTTATATTTTTTGTAATTTTTGTTTTTCTATAAATTTTTATAATTTTATTTTTAGTTAGTGTTTTTCGAATTTTCACTGAAAATACTGAAAACGCTAAAAATGCATTTTTAGTTTTATATTATAAGTTTGTCCTTATTTTCGAAAATGTATTTTTCAAAATACTAGACCAAACACGTTTCCAGTATTTTGTAAAGTTGAAAACTAAAAGCAATTTGAAAACACTAAACCAAACGCACCCTTAACTTTCAACAAAATTGAATTGGAATCTAGTCCTCTCAATTGAATAATTAATTATTCAAAATTTCATCTTTTTTTTATTTACTGTATCTCAAAATGTTTAATTGACAATTAGCAACTGATATTTTATGTAATCATTTTGCGACACGACAAATTACCACCTCGATGTATCATAGAAGTTCGTAAAACATGTTTTAGCATTTTAATCTAAACTAGCCCCAGTCAACGTACAATGCACGTTATTTTGTTTAAAGTCACGTAAATATGTTAATTTCTCATTGTTATCCCTCTTTTGTGTCTAGGAAATCATACAATCTTTTAGAATCAATTGTTGTATTCCCAACTTCCCATGTTGGTTCGTTATCCTTGCATCCTCGTACTTAGTTTTAAGCATATGCAGTTCGTTGTTGCTCTCTTGCTATCTATTCTCCTGTTAGAAAATAATATTTCTTTACAAAACATATATCTATAATATATTAAATATCGCATGAAGTGAGAATCATTTTCTGTACGATTTTAGTCATACTACAATTTAATTATTTCAATAGTACCCTAATTTTCGTTTTTCAATATATATTTAATAGAATATTAATTATTAAACATGTACGCAAATAAATAATTGAATTATATGAGAACAATCAAATTGATTCATGAACATGGAACTTAATTAATTTGAATCAATGAATATAGAAAAAGAATAATGTATATATATTTAAACAAATGGGGTGTAAGTGAACCAATATGAAATTTAATTAATTTGAAAATAGATATAGAATAATAATAATTTATATACATTTAAACAAATGGGGTGTACATGAATCGACATGAAATTTAATTAATTTGAATCAGTGAATATAGAAAAAGAATAATTTATATACATTTAGACAAATTGCGTTATATCATAAAGTAAATGAATAATATTGAAATTAAAGAAGTGTGCGTAAATTTGAATAATTTATCTACTCCTATAATAATTGAATAGCTCCCAAATTATATGATCTTTAATAATTTATATACTCTATAATAATTTTGAAAATAAATACGTGTTTGTGAACTTGAATAATTTATTTACTCATAGAATAGCTCCCAGAACATGTGTACAATGAACTTAATGACTTAATGTTATATTTTATATATCCATAAATAAACGTTAATTAGTATACATGCACATACATAAATAATTGAATTACAGTATTTTTAGAGTAATTGAATAGCCCCCAAAATATAGAAAGTGTACGAGCATGAACTTGAAGAAATAATTGATTGAATTATAGTATGATATATATATAACTTAATGTTAATTATTATCATACACGTAAATAAATAATTGAATTGTATAAAAAGTTCATTTCACATAAACAGTTTTTTTTAACCATTTTTTATATTAAAACTGATTTTCAAATATCATTTTTACAACGCTTATAAAGTATTTCAAAATAACGTACAACGCACGTTTAATTGTGACTAGTCTTTTGAAAATGCATGTCGACTACTTTATTTCGCATATAATGAATTACATGCAATAAGGACTATATATAAGAACCTTCTACATTACATTGATAAAGTTTCATTTGTATGCGATCTTCTTTCTTAGATGGTTGACTTTTTAAACAAATAAATTTATCTCACACACACAATGTATGATTAGTGTATGAATCTAGAAAATACATTGTATCTTATAAACAAAGACACGATTAAACGAAAGATGAGTTGCGGTATGATTGTCAATTAAGTAATTTTCATTAGTCTTGGGTGGTAAGTGATGGAATGTGACACGCTATTAAAAACTTGAATCTAAATTTAAGTTCAATATTGACATAATCAAAACCAATTAAAGTTTAGAAGTTCAAGGACCGTTTATGCAATTTACTCGAGAAAAATTTAAGATGCGAGTGAGCAAGCAAGCGAGACTGTGAGAGTAGCTAAACTAACATTGGTATAAGCAAAAAATGTGTGTATTGAAATTTTTTATTTTTCTTATATTTTGGAAAAATTAAAAAGTTGTTCACACGAGTTGGTCTCAAACATGAGGTGGCCAAATGGGGTCATGGCTTGACTTAGACTGGATTTTTGTGATTTGTGTGGCGTTTGGTCAGCATGATAAAAGAACATAGCATCATTATAAATTACGAATGTTTACACGTAATATGGCGTTGCATCCACCCCATGCTCGGATGGACTAAATTGATAAAATATTATTTGATCGAGAACCTACGCTTGAGAGAATCGAGACAGCAAGTCGAGAATTTAAATGATATTACTACAATTATAAATTAGAACCTTAAAATTTTATTATTTTTAAAAATAGAGAAAGAAAAAAGGAAATTTAAAATTAATTACTCCTGGGCCTACGATATGTAATAATGGGCCTTCTCTTAAGGTTCGCCCATCGTCTTTATCCCATAGTTGGCCCATAATTGTTGGTCACTAGTTTTAGGAAAATTGCAAAAAATTAGGTGTTTTAAGATACTTTTTCAAAAATCAGGTCCATAGTTTGTATATTCAAAAATCAGGTATCATTTAAATATTTAAATAATATTATAATACTAATAATTCACACCAACGCTAATTCATTTTTTCTCTCACTACCCTCTCCCTCTCTTCCGTCTCTTTTCCTCCCACTTCCCCTCTCTCCCTCCCCTCTCTCTCTTCCGTCTCTCCCCCTCACACTCCCTCTCCCTATGTTCAGCAGTATGACGCTGCCGTTCGTCGCAACACAAGTGGATGTGGCGGTGACGGTCAGCCATCTTCATTCAAGCCAGAGAAATTTTTGGGCTCAAAAATTGACTACAAGGGACAGCATTTTGAATTGATTCCATTTGGAGCTGGACGAAGGATTTGTGCAGGGATTCCTTTAGCCCACCGTATGCTGCTTCTTGCACTCGGATAATTATTGCATGAATTTGATTGGGAGANCGACGGTGAGGTGGTGGTGAACCATTAAATAGTTAATATGTGAGTGGTTGATGGTGGAGGTTGTTGTTCCTAGATTGGATTTGGGAGTTTGGGAACTTTTTTCAGATTGATGCCGCGAGATGGTGCATGTCGTGGGTGGGGTAGTGGTGGTATTTACTTGATGTGGTGCGTGGTGGGTTGACAATGGTGGTGGCAGTCGACGGTGGTGCAGGTGGAGAATCTGATGATTTTGATTTTTTGTAACTAAAAATATAATCTGTGACCTTAACATTCTATAATCTGTGACTAAAAATATAATTCGTGACTAACCATTTTTTTTATCTATGACCTAAAAATTATATAATCTATGATCGTAAAAAAATCTGTAACCAATTAATTTGGAAATATATGACTGTGTGACCTATAAATTTGGATATGTGACCAACTAATTTTGAAATCTGTAACCAATGAATTAATTGTTACATATAAAATTTTTGAACGATGACCGTAAATTGTAAATTTGTGACCAGAATGGTCATCGGAATAGTCGTTGGAATAATTGTCGGAATCGGAACAGTCGTCGGAACGATCGTCGGAGAAGAGTGGTGGTCGGAATAGTCGCCCGAAATAGTCCCCGGAGCGGTATGGGCGGTGCATGTGAGATGGGTTAATTATATTATATTAGAATTAAATATTTAATAATAAATTGATTTAATAATTTATTATTTCATAAATAAAAAATAAAAAAAAAACATGATTTTTGAATTGGTATAATGTATACGCCTTATTTATGAATTTTTCCCCTAGTTTTATTTGTATTCGTGGGCTCGGACTTCGCTGACCACATTTGGGTTGTTGGGCCTGTCCTTTACAATTGTAAGAATTCCAGATAGTATAAATTCATAAATACGAAGTTAAGTATCACCCATTTTAAAACTACGAACAAATGTTTCAAAT